CTCAGGTCTCAGTCTTCTGCTTTCCAGTCCCTGTCCAAATGCTACCAGCAGCATTACTTCCTGTCACCCTGCCTTAGCCCCAAGTTGCCATGTGCTTCCATAATTCTCCTTCCTTCCTTAAAGGTTTTTGCCATCGGGTACATGCATTCACCAGAGAGAGACAGACAGAAGGGGAAAGTGAGAAATTATCCCCCAGGGGTCAATCCCCTCTTCCATTTTCCTCTCGGATTTTGGACATGCACATACACACACCTGGTATGCTTTTCAGGCCCCCAGGTAGGGAACTCGGACTGTGGAGTTGACCTTATGGGATCTGGAGGCTTAAATGCTGTGACACCCACTGGCCTGAGCTTCTACCCCTCAGGGTTGGATGGCTACGCTGCAGTCCCTTTTCCTCCATTCTCCTTCCGCGTTCTTGGGCAGGTGCATGTGTGTGTGTGCACGCGCACACACACACACACACACACACGTGTCCAGTGTGAGTTTCAAGCCACCAAGTAGGGCTCGAACTGCAGTTGACCTTGTGGGATTTCAGCCACGTAACCATTATACCATCTGCTATCCCCCACTGTTACAGTCGTTAATATTGGGTTGTGGGGAAAGTCATGACACGTTTTTGTATAGAAAATCATGTCATGACTTAATGGAATCACAGAGCCCTACAGGGTCCCTGCATCTGCCTGTACTTCCTTACCCAGATTCACATGTTCTACTACTCTCCTTTCCATATTCTGTTCCTGTTTACTCTATTTAGCCTACTTCTTTTATTATAGAACAATTTTATTTATTATTATTTTTTAATCTGACCAGAAAAAGAGAGAGAGAAAATGAGGAAGCAAGCTACTAAGCCTGGGACTCAGACTTCAGTCAGCCATGTGGGAGTCCAGTGCCTTAACCACCATGTCATCTGCCGGCCCCTTTAACCCACTTTAAGGTTTCACTCGAGGGGGACTAGTCGGTGGCTTAGAAGTCAAGGATGTTGTATCCCACAGTGGTTGATTCTGAGGTTAGAATCTTGTACCAGGCAGCTTGAAAAACACCTTGGGCGTGTGTGTGTGTGTGTGTGTGTGTATGTGTGTATGGAGGGAATGAAATGCCAAGGAAACTTGATAGGATAGCAGATTAAAATCCTTGCCAAACATGGTGCTAGTGATGGGACTAGTCTATATCTCCCTTTAAGCCTTTACTTATGTTCTGAAAGGTTTTTTCCAAATAATTTTGCTAATCACATTCTCTTTACAATGTGCTCTGAAGGTTCTTGAACTTTGGAGAGAAACAAGGAAGTGCTTGCTGGAGAGACAGACAGAAAGTGAGAAGTCACACCCCAGGGAGGATGGCCACGCCCCACAATTACTTTTCCATTCATTTCTTGAAATTTTGGGAATGCACACACAGGCACTTAGCATGGGTTTCAAGCTGCTGGGTCTGGACCTCGAACTGCAGTCAGCCATGTGGCACCCCAGTGATGTAACCATTATGCCATCTCTGGTCTTAAGAAAGCATTGGTTCTAATAACCATTGTAGGGAGGGTAACTATTTTCACTATATACTTGTACTTAAAACATTTCTAAGTTTATTTCATGAGTTGAGTGAGTGAAAAGTAGATAGGACTTCCCCAACAGGGTCTCGATGTCATGACCCACCAACTCTGGCTCTAGCCAGCCTGGGTCATGGACACGTGTGTCTGGTGTACTGAGAGTGATCTCCTTCTATAAACCAGTAACCTTCCCATAAGAGTTTGCTTTGTAGAGTGTTTTACTGCTGCTCTACCACATGCATGCCCCTTAAAATTTTTTCCTGCCCAGTTAATTTTGTCCACGAATGAGACAAAGACAGGCACCCTCAGTCGGGTTCTTCTGTAGTGATCCACCCCCAGCTATTCCTGTATCATGGGCATGTGCATGCCCAGAGTGTTCAGGGAGGTGTCCAGACGTGAACCTAGAGCCCTCCTAGCCTAGTAAAGTGCTACATTACTGTCTGGCTCCCGATATATTTTCTTAAAAATAATGATTTATTTTGTTTATTATTTATTTATTTAACATTTATTTATTTATATTCATTCACCATACATCATTACAGCATACAAAGTGTAATTTTTCCGTCCAGAATACATTGTATATTGGTTTAATCAATCACATCAACATACATATTATCGTCAACAAATAATTTTCCATTTCTTTTTTTTCTTTTTTTTTTTTTCCGGAGAGCTTTTTGCTATACGGCACATGCACTTGCTGGAAAAACGGAGAGAGACCACAAACGATCTTAATTCATCAAAATATTTTCAGTAGCAAGCGCAGCTGACATATACATATCCATGAATACAAGTCTAACTTTAGGCATAAACCTCAGTGAGTAGAATGAACATATTATAAAGTAGCACCTAGCTTTGGCTATATAGTTTACTGCAGTCATCAGATAGGTATTTTTTAATTCATTTTGTTTTTAATTTCAAGAATTTGTGTGTTTTTTTTTTTATTTCTGGAACTTTTAAAAAATTTATTAATTTACATTTATTCCCTAAGCATCATCAGAGCATACAAAATGTGATTTCCCATCCAGAATATACTGCATAGTGGCTTAATCATGCATGTTATCAGTAATTTTTTATTTAGTTTATATTTTTATATATATATATTTATATATTTATATACCCTATTTTTGACCTTCTGCCCTTTCCCACCTCTTCTCGCATTATCTCTGGTGTCTACAGTTGTCTTCCATTCCTTTCCCCCCCTTGAGTGCCTCTCTAGGTTTGGAAAGTTTTCCTACAGGATTTCATGGAGTAGATGATCAATGCCCTTATGAGTCTCAATTATCCAGATGTTTGGACATTTGATGGTATCTAGGATTTCTCATATATTATTCTCATTTTTTCTTAGTTTTTGTGGTGGATTTTTCTAGGCCAGCGATTTTTCTCTTCCACGTCTGAGATTCTATTTTCTGTATGATCTAGTCTGCTTTTCTATTTTTTAGTATTTTAAAATTAATTTTCTACAAGGCACATGCACTTACCAAGATATACACACACACACACACACACACAAGGAAAGTGAGAAGTCATCCCCAGGGGGAATGGGCATGTAGTCACATACACCTGGTGTGATTTTCAAGCTGCCTGGTGTGATTTTACAAATTGCCAGGTTCAGGGCTCAAAAAACATCATCGACCATGTGAGAGTCCAGCACCTTAACTACTGTGCAACTGGCTGACCCTCATGTTGCTGTTTTTCTCTCCCTTTGATTCCCCTCTTTCTTTTCCTTTCTCTATCTCTTTCTCTCTTTCTTCTTTCTTTTTTCTATAAGGCATATGCACTCACTGGAAAGAGAGAAAGATCATCCCTTGGGGGGATGGCCATTCCACGGTCCCTTCTCCAGTTCTCCTCTCTGAATTTTGAGTATGCATGCACATGTTCCTGGTATGAGTTTCAAGCCACCATGTCTAGAACAGTGTTTGGCTATATAGGAGTCCAGCACTTTAACCTCCATGCTACCTGCTGTCCCTGGTGATGCTGTTTTTTTAAGGTAGAGAACAACAAAGAGTAGCAGAGGTGGGAAATGTTAAAGAAGATTTCCACCTTGACAAGCCGAGTTTGAAGTAGCTGAGGGAAAGGGACTCAGCAGTATCCAGATGACAGAGTGATGGGCTTGGGCTGGAAAGGAATCACATGGTACTTCAGTAAAGATCTGATCCTGACTTTGCCACTTTGGAGCTTTGCATTTTGGACGGCAGAAATAACCAACTCTGCAAAAATAATTAACGCAGCTTATTTCCTTTTTTTAAATAATTATTTTATTTAACTTTATTATTATTATCATTATTATTTTCCAGTTTGATCAGAGAGAGACAGAGTGAGAGGAAGTGAGAAACGAAGCCACCAGGTCTGAGACTCGAACCATGGTCGGCCATGTGGGAGTCCAGCACTTTTATCCACCATGCCACTTGCTAACCCCAATTCAGCTTATTTCTAGGCACGAATATGTGTGACCTAGGCCCAGAGAGGAGGCAAAACATGTCTTTTTTGGGGTGATCAAGTACAAGGCTTTCTTTTATTTGATTTTGAGATTGGAAGACAAAGTTTGGAATTTTTTTTTAATAATTATTACTTCAACTTTATTTTTATTTATTTATTTATTTATTTTAATTTGACAAGAGGAGAGTTTGGGAGAGAGAGAAACGGAAAGTGAGAAAGCAAGCTGCCAGGTCCAGGACTCTAACTATTGTTGGCTATGTGTGTATCCAGTGCCTCTAACCACCATGCCACCTGCTGGCCCCCAACATAGAGGTTTTCCAGTGGTCTGGCCCAAAAAGGTGGAACATGTGGAGGTTGGGGCTTGTAGGTTATATGTGGGTTTTACAGGTTTTACATTGGTGACTGGAAAAGAAAGGTTGCTGAAATCAGAAAAGAAGGTACTTTAACAGAGATAAAGAGGCTTATTATATATCACAAAGATGTAAACCAGGGATAGGATGTAGGAAGAGTCCTGTTACCTTTGGGTCAAAATGGTCCGTTAATGTTTGTGGGAGTGACTCCCTCCAGGCCCTCTGGAAGGGATTTTGGAAATAGGATAAAGTAGTCAGACTTCTGTCCTCACGTTTATTACGTGAAACTGGGCTATCTCAAAGATCCAGTGGTGTGAACTTGTGTTACTTTGATGACTTATTAACTTTTAGTTCATTAGAGTGTTCTGGGCCAACTGGAGAGCTTTTGTGCTTTTCTAGCCACCGGTGTCAGGGCTGCTGCCTCTCTGTGCAGTTTGCTCACTGCTCTGGGGTGCCTGGCCCAGGACGAAATCCCACTGTGGTCCATGCCCCAAGTCTTGTGCTCTTGGCCGCTGGGAGGTAGGCAGGCAGCTTTGCCGTGGGAACCTTTCCTCCTCCTCAGAGGGCAGGGCATGATGTTGAAAGTTAAGCTGCTGTGGTAGTTCATTTCCATGTGGCTCCTGTAATTTTTCCATTATCAGATTAGGGTTACTTAACTTTCCTTATTTTCTCTGCAGATCATCAATGCTGTGGTACTGCTGATTTTACTGAGCGCCCTGGCTGATCCAGATCAGTATCACTTTTCAAGTTCTGAACTGGGAGGAGACTTTGAGTTCATGGATGACGCCAGTAAGTACATTAGAAACCAATTGTAGATATTTTGGTATTTGTAAGGGCAGGGAGTCCAACTGCCAGTTCTTAGTAAGTTACAAATACTGATTCATAGGCCATGTGAGCTGATACTTTTAATTTTCTTCCCATTGTTACAAATCACACCAACAAGTATTAATGTGCTACCTATGTTCATTTCGGTACTAAGTGCAAAAGTCCAAAAAAGAGTGAGGGTATAGGGGTCCAGGACTGAACCCTGAAAAAGCCCCAACTGTGAGAGGTCAGGAAGAGAGGGGGAGTGTGGGAGCAGCTGCAGGAAACCAGGAGAGCCTTATCCCTCGTTGTCACTGCTTCCCTCGTAACATGGATTGAGAAGCTGGGGCATTACGTTATCTTGGGGCTTGCGACCGTGCCAGATATGTGTGGGTTCTGATGGAACATTTCTTATTCTCTCTATTCTGAAGGACCTTGTTACTCTCATGAATTCTTCCAGAAGGGAAAATGAATTCCATCAATATTACATTTCTCTACTTTTCTTCCCCAGAGTGTAAAGACTATATAAGCTATACATTGCAAGGGAACGTCAAAAAGTTAATGGAAAAATGGCATTAAATTACAAGTTTATTTTGGTACCCAAAAAATTGAAATCCATGTATAAAACACGTTATCTAAGAATTTTTGGAAGGTTCCATTTATGTTTAACGCTTAGAAGTCTTCAAGTTTTCCAGTAGCAGTATTTCTTTTCTGATGTGACTGAGATGGGGAAAAGCCTTTGAGATGACTGTTGTGTTCTGTCTGGATGGAATGGCAGCCACAGTGCGTGCTTTGTTCTAATTGCCAGAGATGAAGCTGGGTAATGATTCTGGCAGGATTAGCTTAATTGAACTGCCTTCAAAGGCCTGCGGTACTTAAGACTTTGGAATAGAAATTGTTTAGTGTTCTGGATATTAATTGCTGAGCATTTGAGGTTTCTCTCAGATTTCATATGTTGAAAAGGATTAAATGAATAGTATTTAATTACTTTTTTTAGTGTTTCCCCCCCCCAATTTTGCCAGAGGGCATGTGCGCGTCTCCAGAGAAGGAGCTTAGTTAGAAAGCATCCTCATGGGAAATAGTCATCATAATCCTGTCTCCCCCGTTTCTTCTTACTGTCAGGATTTTGGGCATGCGTGCACATATCCCCAGTGTGTTTTTCAAGCTGCCAGGTCCAGGACTTGAACTGTGCACCTGCCTTAACCACCATGCCAATAACTGGCATAGTTTTTTGTTTTTTGATATGCTGATAGGACAGTTTGCTATGGGGCATGTGTGCTCATAGGGGACAGAGAGGGAAAGCGAGAAAGTACCCCTCAGGGATGACCATACTGCAGTCTTCTCTCTTCCATTCTCCTCTTGGGATTTTGGGCATGGACACACATGCACGCATCATGTTTTTCAGGCTGCTGGGTCTGGGACTCAACCACAGAGCCAACCACGTGGGATCCAGTGACCTTGACGACCATGTCACCCCTGTTGACCCACTCACCCAGTTTTTAATTACTCTTAAAACTGTTTGTCACTTTGTTGTTTATTTATTTCTTCCGTTAGCGAGAGACAGACAGAGTCGGGGGAGGCACCCCTAACACGGTCTTCCCACTGCCGTGCTTTCCCAGACAGTCAGAATCATGGAGAATGTTGTGTGTTACTGTTGTGCTACCACAGTTGACCAAGACTGCCATTTATTTCTATTTATTATTTACTTATGTATATATATATTTTAAGAGATTTTTGCTGTAGGGTGTGTGCATTCCCTGGAAAGAGAGACAGAAAGTGAGAAATCTCGCTTATCCTTTGTTCTTGTCTTGGGATTTTGTGTACGCATGCACATGTGCCTGGTGGTTTCTGGCCCTCAAACCATGGTTGGCCAAGTGGGAATCCAGCAATGTAACCATTATGCCATCTGCTGGTCCCAAGACTGACATTTAAATCACATGATTAGAAAGGGACAGAAGAGGGATCAGCTGGGGTGTAATGGCTGTGCCACTGGACTCCCATGTCTTTGACCGTGGTTTGAATCCTGGACCTGGTGGCTTAAACTCACGCTGGTTGTGTGTGCCGGCGTGGCCAACTCCCTTGGGGAGTGATTTCTTGCTTTCTGTTTGTCTCTTTCTTTCTGGTGAGCACACGTGTCCTATAGCAAAAACTATTAAAAAAAAGAAAAGAAAGGGACAAAAGAGTGGCTTTTTACTTCATTGACTCTTACAATGTTTCCCCTTTTACATTCTCTTTGAGATCTGTTTGGACCACCTTTATTTAATAAACTTGTATCCTTTTCTAATTAATAACATTGTATCAGACAGTTTATGTGTATAGATAATGTGGGAAAACAAAATATGCCACCTCAGGGTATACTTCTTTGGCATAATTTTCATTCTGTTCCTTTTTTTCTTTAGAGGTTTTTGCCTTTAGGGTACGTGTGGTTACCAGGG